GTTCTCCCGCCCCTTTCTACCCTACACTGACCAATCGAGAGCTAAGCCGCGCCGGCGTCCCGCCCCTGCACGCTGCCTCGCAGCAGGGCGCGACGGATCTCTCTACGCAGGAGCCCGCCTCCGCTCCGGTGCTTCTCTTCTGCCTCTTCCCCAGTCTTGCCTCTAGGCGGAGCGGTGCTCAATGAAGCCCGGAGTGGCCTGCTGGACCTGCGCAGATGGGACACATGGGAATCCCCCCTAACCTGCTTCATCCTTCTCCCTCTACCCACCTGTTAGTCCTCCCTCCTGAAGCAAGTGGCCAGGCTGTGACCAGGAGTTAGGGTGTGACCTGGGTCACTGTCTAGTTAGGGTTGAGGCTCAATCTATCAGATTTAATGGAGAATGAACCTGTGTTAAGTCCTTGCTTCCTCCAAAGCTGAAGTATAACACCAGAGAAGTCTGCCAGGCAAGTTTAGATTGGAAAGTAGAAGCTTTATTAAAGGACAGCAGAAAAGACTTCTCCCCGGAGGAAGAAGGGGACCCAAAAGACAGAATCCGTGGAAGGTCTTCCCTCTTTTATAGGTCTTCTTTCAGCTTTCCCACACTCCTGTCCTTTGTTTCCCGTTATCTTGCCGTGAGAGAATGCAGGCGAGAAGGTCCAAAAGGTGGGAGATAGGTGGGCTGGAGGAGTAATCCGGGCAGGAAGGGCTTGGGGCAGCTTTTGATCAGCATTTCCCAGTTTGCTGGCAGCTGCTTCATTAACATTTCCTTAGGATGGGCTCCAGGCCTTGAGGACATTAACATTTCAATTTCCCCAAGTGCTACTCTGTTTTGGGGGACTCCATTCTCTATAATGGCCTCCATTTTATTTATCTTACACAATATTAGACCCGATTTACCTAACTACACTAACTACTACCTGTAAATCTAGCTTCACCTGGGTGTGCCATGATAGATGAATTTAGGGGACAGTCTCTGAAATTGGGACCAAAAGACTTTGTTACTATGCATGTCAAGGCTGGATGTCCAAAGGAGACAATTTAGACTGCTGTTCTGACTTGATGATCTCTGTTTTTTCTGTGAGGCAGGAGAGAACCGGGGGATGCATAAAGGACTGAGAAAAATGAAGATGATTTGAAGAGGTGATGCTGAAAAGGGAGAAAAACCTAACTAGAAACTCCGAAGTGTTGAGATTTACATTTGCACTCAGCAAATAGAACATTTGTACTGTCTTACTAACTTAATTTTTTTCTGACATTTAAGCACAGCGTAATCAATATTTTGTCCTTGTCCTTTAGGATATTTTTTAAATAAAAGAAAAGTCTAATGCATTCATAAGCAAGGTTGGGGGTTTGGGGGTCATTTGCTTTTGGTACTGGGGATTGAACCCAGGGGCACTTAACCACTGAGCCATCCATATCCCTAGCCCTTTTTTTTAATTTCTAATTTTTGAGTCAGAGTCTTGCTAAATTGCTGAGGCTGGCTTTGAACTTGCAATCCCCTTGCCTCAACCTCTTGAGTACTGAGATTATAGGCATGAGTCTAGTCACTCGCTTTTTTTTTTTTTTTAGATGGGGTCTCATGATATTTCCCAGGCTGGCTTCAAATTTCTGTGCACAAGATCCTCCTGACCAGATGCAGTGGCACATGCCCGTGATTCCCAGTGACTCCATGAGGTTGAGGCAGGAGGATGAGGCAGGAGGACTACAAGTGTGAGGCCAGCCTCAGCAACTTTGCAAGACTCTGTCTCAAAATTTAAAACTAAAAGGGTTGGGGATGTAACTCAGTGGTAGAGCATCCCTGGGTTCAATCCCCTGAATTGAGGGGGGAAACAAAGATTATCCTGCTTCAGTTTCCTGAGTAGCTGATTAAGGCATTAGCAGCAGGGCATTTAAACAGTCTACTCCAGACCTTTAAAGTCAATATGAATTCCCAATGAAAGCCTTTTCTCGCCAGGCGTCCTCGTGAGAGTGACATCGTCTTTAAACCCTGTGTGGCAATCCCTGACGCACCGTCGTGATGCCCAGGGAAGACAGGGCGACCTGGAAGTCCAACTACTTCCTTAAGATCATCCAACTTTTGGATGACTCTCCAAAATGCTTCACTGTGGGAACAGACAATGTGGGCTCCAAGCAGATGCAGCAGATCCGAATGTCCCTCCGGGGGAAGGCTGTGGTGCTGATGGGCAAAAACACTATGATGCGCAAGGCCATTCGAGGGCATCTGGAAAACAACCCAGCTCTAGAGAAACTGTTGCCTCATATCAGGGGGAATGTGGGCTTTGTGTTCACCAAGGAGGACCTCACTGAGATCAGGGACATGCTGCTGGCCAATAAGGTTCCAGCTGCTGCCCGTGCTGGTGCCATTGCACATGTGAAGTCACCGTACCAGCCCAGAACACTGGTCTGGGGCCCGAGAAGACTTCCTTCTTCCAGGCTTTGGGCATTACCACTAAAATCTCTAGGGGCACCATTGAAATCCTGAGTGATGTGCAGCTGATAGAGACTGGAGACAAAGTGGGAGCCAGTGAAGCTACCCTGCTGAACATGCTGAACATATCCCCCTTTTCCCTTGGGCTGATCATTCAGCAAGTGTTTGACAATGGCAGCATCTACAACCCTGAAGTGCTTGACATCACAGAGGAGACTCTGCATTCTCGCTTCCTGGAAGGTGTCCGCAATGTTGCTAGTGTTTGTCTGCAGATTGGTTATCCAACTGTTGCATCAGTACCCCATTCTATCATCAATGGGTACTAGAGGGTCCTGGCTTTGTCTGTGGAGACTGAGTACACCTTCCCACTTGCTGAGAAGGTCAAGGCCTTCTTGGCTGATCCATCTGCGTTTGTGGCTGCTGCCCCAGTGGCTGCTGCTACTACTGCTGCTCCTGCTGCTGCTGTGGCCCCAGCCAAGGTTGAAGCCAAGGAAGAGTCGGAGGAGTCGGATGAGGATATGGGATTTGGTCTCTTTGACTAATCACAAAAAGGCAACAACTCAGCTTCAAATGCAAAACAAAGAAATAAAGGCTTACTTCTTAAAAAAAAAATTCCCAATGAAATGTAATTAATTTTATGCTGATTTAATAAGTGTATGGCTTTGATGTGCATAAAAAAATAACATAAATTGGTCATTTGCCCTAATTTTTTTTCATGAACTGTTAAAGTACTAGATAAAATGTTCTCGAATATGAAATAATAAAGCTGTTATTTAAATTTGAAGATTGGGGTTGTAGCTCAGTGGTAAAACACTTGCCCAGTATGTGTAAGGCCCTGGGTTCTACTCCTAGCACTGCAAAAAAAGAAAAGACTGTTAAGTTTAACTTTTTATTATGTTGCTTATACCAACATTTTCCTCAGGAAATTAATTTCTAACACAACCATGGAGATCAATAAAAAATAGCATTTCAAAAACAACAAAAGGCAAAATGCCTTTCTGCAATTTTATGAAATTGCACCTTATGTGTAGGTGCTACTTCTGCCAACTAAATAAAGCCTGTCCTCTTTCCTGGCCCACACTATCTATTTTCTGTATTCAACTGTCCTCTCTGGAAGGTTAAAGACTGTGTCTTGTGTACTGTTGAATCCCCAGGGCTTAAAAATAGCAACAGGTATGTAATAGATCTATTTTTGAATGAATTAATGATAGTAGCATAAACACTGTCACCTGTATCTACCCTATATGGAAGGGAGAAAAATAATTAAAGTGTAGAAGAAGAAGGCTTACATAATATTGAAAGGGTAAAGTTTCTAAGCTGCAAAGCCTGGGTTAAAATGTAAAGGACCAGTTGTAAAGCTGCATCTAAGCTGCAAAGCCTGAGTTAAAATGTAAAGGACCAGGTATTGTTAAGTTCCTATGCTACACTCAAAACCTGAAATTCCTGTAGCTGTTAGGACAATTCCCGGGACTGCCCAGTAGATATTCCCCCTGACCATTTAGTTATTTAATAACCTAGGACCCTGTGCACTTTGGCACATAGGCATCTCAGGGCCCAAACCAATCAGTTTGAATGTACCCCCCTTCTTAGGACTGACCTATCACTCCTGCCCGACCTGTTCCCGCCAATGAATGTACTAATAATGTTTAAGAATTGTTGTTTGATTTTCCTGTGGTGTATGGTGATTTGTTAAAGGAGACTGTGATGTATGTAAAGTCCCTGCTCTCCCCAAAAAGAGTACTTAAGCCCTGCTCAACCCCTGCTCGTGGCTCTTGGCCGCTCTCCCTTCTTGAGTGAGCACGGAGCCCCAGCGCTCTGGAACCTCAATAAACCCCCTTTTGCTGTTGCATGAGTCGGTCTCTTGGTGGTCTCTTCCTCTGACGTTCGCCGGACCCTTACAATATTATGTAAAAACATTCAGTGCTTATTGTGGAATTGAATAGTCACTGTCCGTTTTTTAAAAAATATTCTTTAATTGTCAATGGGCCTTTATTTCATTTATTTATATGTGGTGCTGAGAATGGAACTCAGTGCCTTACACATGCTAGGCAAGCACTCTACCACTGAGCCAAAACCAGCCCCTCACTGTCTGTTTTTCAGGGGAAAAAAAAAAGTGTGGGGATGACTTAGGGGCCAAAGTCCTAGATATTTCTCTGGAATGATATAAAGTTCCCAGGTTGAAGCAGAGATCAGTCAAACTTTCATTTTACAAGGCCAGGTGTGGTGGCGCAGCAATGGTGAGGCGCTAAGTAACTTAGTGAGACCCTATCTCTAAATAAAATACAAAATAGGGCTGGGAATGTGGCTCAGTGGTTGAGTGCCCCTGAGTTCAATCCCTGATACCACCCCCCCAGAAAAAAACTTTCATTTTATATATGTGGAAACTAACACTCTTAAGATTAAGTAACTTTTCACCCATCCTCCACCCCTTGTCCTTCCGTCCCATCAACCTGAAGCATTGAAGGTTTTGATCAGATTATAGAGAAAGGAGTCAAAGTAGAATTCCTGGTGTTTATTGGCTATATCTTCTACACCTCCCCCACCATTAGAGCAATTTAATCACCCCTAAGAATCCCAGAAATGGGAAGAGAAGGCAGGATGAGGGAGCACAAACTAATGCTGAGTTTACAAGGTAATTGTTGTGCCACATCCTAATCCCATTTTCAACCTCTCTGGTTCCTAACAAGAGGATAGACTTATTGCCTTTCCCTAAATCTTCCTCTTTGAGGCAAGTAAATTAAAGCCAATGACTAGGGTTTGAGGAGGTATCCTGGGGAGGATTTTATCCCAGCATCCAATCAATTACCATCAGGAGAAAGATAGCCATCCAGGATCCTGCAAGAAAAAAAAAAAAGGTATAAAATAGGATCAGGGAACTTTGCAAGGCTGGAAAAGTTTTAAAGCTTAGATACTTCACTCTGGAGGATTAGTAATTTATTATTATTTTTTTTTTTGAGATGGGGTCTCACTATGTTGCCCATACTGGCCCTAAACTTCTGGGCTCAGGTGATCCTCCTGCCTCAGCCTCATGAGTAGTAGGGATTATAAGCAGGTGCCACTGTTCCCAAGCCAATTTTGAATGTTTAACCCCTACTCTACTCTAAATCATTTCTGGACAGTCCCAGATTCTGATAAGGGATAAATCAATAGCCCCACATTGACAACTCTGCATGTATTGCTGAAGAAACTGGCACTCAGAGAAGTTAACTGACTTCTCCTGGGTCACATAGAGTTGAGAACAAACATGATCTAAGATCAGCACCTGCCAAGTCCTAAAGTGAGCTCCCAGACCTTGGTGCAGTCATAACAAACTTCATCATAGCAATCATTTTGTACCAACCTGGAGAGCTGCTGCTGGAGGCTTTGGACTCTGAAACCACATAGAAACAAAGATTAAGCCTTAGGATGCTGGCATCCTAACAGGACAAGGCCAGCACTCGCCCATCATTTCATCAGGATTGGGCAAAGAGGCTGGCACTTTCTTGAGGCTAGGACTCAAAAGATGATACTTCTAATGAGAATGGATTTAATAAAGAGAGGGGCTTTCTCGTGAGGGTTCGAGCTTTACAGGACTGTTATGGAATAGAAAGAAGTGAGAGTGTTCCAGGCTAGAAAGTAAGATTGAAAATACACACACAGCCTAGCAGGAGAGACAGCCCAGGAGAAGACTGATAGGAAAGGAGACAATGGGAGGAAGCAGAGAAGGCTCCGACTTGAAGTTCAATAAATGAGGAGAGGACCCAGCAAATGGAGGGGACCTTTTTGGAATGGAGATCCCAGGAGGATGTGGACTCGCAGAGGATGGACTCGGGGAGGAGACTTGGTTTGAGGAAGAGCATGTGGACAAGAAGGTAAGAGGGGGCTCAGTGAAGGATCGGAGGACTCAGTAGGTGAGTTAGAGGCTCTGGAAGAGGAGCCAGGAGGCCCGCAAATGATCGATCTAGATACCCGTTATTCGGAGAGGCCCGAACACTATCCAGCTGCCGCCGCGCTCCAAGTCCTCTTGCAATTGGATCTCCCTGGGCGAATTCCTCCCAGAAGGGTTCCTTGGCCTGCAGGTCTGTGGGCGACACGAGACTAGGTGTAGTGAGGACGGGAAGGCTGGGACTTTACCTAGGACCCGCAGAAAGCCGGGTCCCTGCCCCGCCCCCAAATGAGCTTACCAACCCACGCCCTGGCCTGATAGGCCAATCCCCAGCCCCACAAGCGCCCAGGCCCCGCCCCCGCCCCCGCCCCAAGAGCACGCGGTTGCTACACCCGGCTTCTCCGCGCGCTAGGGCAGAAATGCCCAGCGGGCGCGGGCGCAGCCGGTGCGCAGGAACGCACTGAGACTACCGGCTTACCGGTCGGCACTGGCGTTCCATCTGCTTGTCACACAGGGTCACTCGGGCGTGCAGGTAGAGCGTATCGCTATTTAAGAAGCGGAACAGTTTGAAGGCCAGCGTTACCTGGAGAGAGGCCCCGTTGTTGGGTAGACCGTGGAGCAGCCGGCTGGGGACTGGGCAGCTGTGGGAAGAGGCAGCAGCACCAACTGGTTAGCGTCGTGGCTGGGGGCCGACGGTGCAGATGCACCAATGATGATTGATTTCCTTCTGTTTACTCGCCCTGTGTAAATTCAGGTGCTGGATCTCATGCTGAGAACTTTACATGGATTATTTCATTTCATCCTCACACCAATTCTAAGAGGAAGGCCATACTTTTGCCACCCTTTCTTTTTTGATGATGGGGAAACTGAGGCTAAGGAAAGCCAAGTAGATTACGTGAGGTTCTACGGGTAACAGCCTGGCTCCAGCATCGGCCCATACCCTTAATCAATAGGTTATATTTCCTCCTAACAAAGTAGGAATTGTGGGTTGTTGATGTAACTGGCCTAGCATGCTGGACACAGTAAAGTGCAAAATAAAAATAAATAAAAGCAGTAACAACTCAAAGCTGGGATAAATTCATGGGTGCTGTGTTTCATGACTCGTTCACAAAGATTGTTTGGAGAAATGATTCAGACATTTGAAGCCTTAATATTAGTAGTCAGGAATCTCATCTCTTCCTAGACGGTTGAGAATAAGGACTTGGCCTTACTACCTCTGTGTCCTCAAACATTAGCAAAGTCTGTCACTTAAACATTTTGTGTGAACTGAGCCTTAATTTCTCCATCTATAAGATGGGAATGAAAAAATAACTGTCATAGAGTGCATTGAGAGGCTTAAATTAGTTAATATATGTGAAGATATTAAAACTGGATTGCAGGAGTAACTACTATGTCAGTATTAGTTATCATTAGCTATTATTTGCAATGCATGTCCAACATTTAGAATGTAGCACTCTGAACTATTAGAATTGTTTTTTGGTTTTTCATCTTGTCACTGTAGGATCTCAATAACTGAAGACAAATAAATGAATGTCATTTATTGGATGTGCATCCTTTTTTTTTTTTTTTTTGTTTTTTTGGTACCAGTGATTGAACTCAAGGATGCTCAACCACTGAGCCACACCCCCAGCCTTATTTTGTATTTGAGACAGGGTCTCAATGAGTTGCTAAGTGCCTTGCGATTGCTGAGGCTGGCTTTGAACTCTCAATCCTCCTATTTCAGCCTCCCAAGCTGCTGGGATTACAGGTGTGCGCTACCATACCCTGCAGGATGTGAAGTTTTGTAGAGGTTTTAATCTCCCTGAGCCTTAATTTACTCATTTGCAAAATGGTAATGATAATGCATTCTAATGTATTCGTTCAATAAACATTCACCCAGTGCTTACTTTCTCCCCATGTTTGCAATACCAAGCATACAGAGAAGAATGACACAATCTGTGCTCATGGGTACAAAAACACCCAACATAAACCACAGTCTTAAGAGCTGGTCTGGTACTGGTAGGAGTTTACTGGGGCTTGAGAGACACTTACCTCTCATTCACAAAGTGGTAGGTCGCCTTAACAGCCTTTTTGTTGGAGATGTTGGCGCTGACAAAGACCTCATTGACCACGAGAGCAAATCTGTTGGGATCACTGCTTGTGGCATTGAGAACTATGTAGAGGGGTGTGCCAAGGTGAGCTGTTCTGTTCTTGAGTGGAGCTGAGAGCTGAATGTCTGTAAAGATGCTCAGGAAGATGATAGTTTCCCCAGTACTGGGAAAGTGGATGGTCCTATATCCAAAAAGGGACAAGAGTGAGAATCTCACCATGAAACCTCAGAGGGAAGGACACTCTCACCTTCTGTCTCACCCAAAGTCACTAAGCTCTGGTAAGCCATAGAGAATAAGGAGAGGAGCAAACCTGCTCACCTTCCTCCTGAACTGCCTAAAAATGAGGTGCCGCCTAATAGATCCCCACTCAGGACCCTTGAAGCCACCCAACCCCACAGTAGTTTACATAAGCATCCCATAATGCATTGCTTCATAGAAGCATCTTTTTTCTCTAATGCTTTGAGTCGCCATCTAAGAGGTTCTTATGTCTAGTGGGTAGACACAGGGAGTCCAATATCTGAGGTGTTGATTTTTTGACTTGATTAGAGGTAGCATTGAGAACTCAGGAACCTCCCAGGGACCAGAGAGATAGGCAGCTGACAGGGGAAAACTCACGGGATGGAGTCCACCACTTCGGGGAGAGTCTGGCTGATGTTCACCACTAGAGGGTAAGCACAGCTGAAGCTGAAGAGCATTGTGGACTCCGTAGTTTTGGAGCCTGAAAGAACCTGCTTAAGCTGCACCTTCAGAGAATACAGGGCGTGGCTGTTGTTGGTCTAGAAAAGACAGGGAGGTAACCATTATCCTCAGATCTCTAGGGGAAACACCTTCCATCCTCAGTGGCTGCGAGGTATTTGTTTAAATAAAATTAACAGCTAAAGTTCACTGAGGCTGAGCTGTATGTCAGGTATGTGATTTCACCACAACTCTGAGGAGAGTTCTGTTATTGGTCTCTTTTTCTTTTCTTTTCATTTTCTTTCTTTCCTTTTTTTTTTTTTTGGACTGGAGATTGAACCCAGGAGCTATTTACAAGTAAGCTACCTCCCAGTCCTTTTCATTTTTTATTTTGAGACAGGTTCTCACTAGGTTACTGAGGGTCTGCTAAGTTGCTTAAGCTAGCCTCGAACTTGTGATACTCTTGCCTTGGCTTCCCAAATTGCTGGGATTACAGATATACACCACTACATCCAGCTTATTAGTCCCATTTTACAGAAGAGCAAACTAAGGCCTGGAAAGGTTAAAAAAAAAAAAACTTGCCCAAAGCAAGTAACAAAGCCTAAAACCCCCAGGACCACTTTTCTGATACCAAAGCCCCTGGTCTTAATCTCTGGTTCTCAAATTTCAGTGTGCATTTTAGAGTTCCTTGGGAAAAATAGGAAAGACAATAGAATATATCTAACATAATTTTCCCATGTACACATGAAACACCTAAATGAATCCCACCATCATGCCCACCCACAAGAATGGGGTCCTAATTAGAATAAGATATACCCCATGCTTGTATAACTTTATCAAAATGGATTCTGCTGTCATATAAAACTAAGAAGAACCAATGGAAAAAAGTATATGACTAATGAATGTATTCAACTAAAAGGATATCTCTAAATGGGTGTGTGACTATATAAATTAAAAGTAATTTTACACTTGAAAGTACAAAAATAAATAAATGGTTCTCTTGGCTGGACTTGGTTTTACATGCCCAGAATCCCAGCTACTTGGGAGGCTGAGGCTTGAGGGTCTCAAGTTCAAGGCCAGCCTGAGGGACTTAGCAAGACCCTATCCCAAAATAAAAAGAGCTGGGGATACAGCTCAGTAGTAGAGCTTTACTTAGCATGTGTGAGGCCCTGGATTAAAACCACAGTACCACAAGGGGAGAGAAAAAAAAGATTCATTGGGGTATTTGTTAAAAATGCCAACTCCTGGTCCTTATCCCAAGCATCTCACACATGCTTGGCAAGTACTCTACCGCTGAGTTACAGCCTCAGCCCTTATGCAATATTTTTAAAGAAAGGAGGTAGCATCATTGTTGAGCTCATAGGAATACAAGCTAACTCTGTAAATCACTAGCTATATGATTTTGGGAAAACCCTTAACTTCTCTGAACTATAGATTACCCATCTGTAAAATAAGACTACTATGATGGTTTAATGAGAATAATGTATGTTAATAGGGATTTGATCTTCTGTATGTGGTTAGAAATTAATAAATACTTGTCATCATTATTATTATTTTAAAGGATTCTGGGGCTGACAATTTGGAAACCAGTATCCTATTCCATCAAACATGGCACCACCTGGGGGCTGGGGATATATAGCTCAGTTGGTAGAGTGCTTGCCTCAAATGCATAAGGCCCTGGGTTCAATCCTCAGCACCACACACACACACACACACAAAAAAAAAAAAAAAAAAAAAAAAACTGGCACCACCTGTAAGGGCATTCCCAGTCTAGGCAGACATAACATGGTCATTTCCCCTCAAAAACACTGGTCTAGAAGGGCAGGGTGGCACATGCTGTGGTCCCAACTACTTGAGAGGGTAAGGTAGGAGGATCTTAAATTTGAGGCCAGCTTCAGAAACTTAGCAGGACCCTGTTTCAAAAGAAATTAAAAGGGTGGGGGTGTCTCAATGGTAGAGCACCCCTGGATTCAACTGCAAGTCAATTGCAAGTACAGGGTAGGGATGGGAGAAGGAGACTGGTCTGATGGCTAGGATTTGACTTCACTCTCGAGAATCCCTCAGTCAAATAGGTCATGGGCTGGGGTTGTGGCTCAGCAGTAGATCTGGGATTTGATCTTCTGTGTGTGGTCAGAACTTAATAAACACTTGTCATCATTATTATTATTTTAAAGGATTCTGCCCAGCATGTGTGAGGCAATGGGTTTGATCCTCAGTGCCACATAAAAATAAATAAATAAAGGGGCTGTGGCTGTGGCTGCACAGCTGCTTGCTTAGCATGGGTGAGGCACTGGGTTTGATCCTTAGCACCACATGCAAAAATAAGAAAATAAAATAAAGGCATGCTGTCCATCTACAACTACAAAAATTAATTAAAGGTAAAAAAACAGAGATGAGGTCAGGACTAGTATCCAATCACTCCCTTCCCAGCCCCACCTCACAGCTCCCCAGTCCCTATCAGGTGACCCTCCCAGCTTGCTTACAGAGAGGTGGAGTCCACAAGAACCCTCCTTCTTCTCCATCAGGAAGACCTGGACCCTGTAGCCTTGTTCTATCTTCTTGGTGCTGGAGCACCCCGAGAAGGCATCTTCTTTCAGAATCCAGTGGTTAGTTTCCAGGAAGCAGCTGCTCAGGGCCACCCCAATTTTCTGTGCACTGCAGTTCAGGGTCACTGGCATCCTGGACAGTTCTGCAGGAAGACAAGAGCCAGGGCAGGGACCTCCTGAGGCTCCTTGCATGATGCTGTGGGAGTGGGTATAATTCTGATGTGGACAGAGGAGACTCGGGACATTAGCCTAACCTATTAAAACCTTCCGCAGGGGCTGGGGATGTGGCTCAAGCGGTAGCGCGCTCGCCTAGCATGCGTGCGGCCCGGGTTCGATCCTCAGCAGCACCACATACCAACAAAGATGTTGTGTCCGCCGAGAACTAAGAAAAAATAAATAAATGTTAAAATT